GGAGATCGTATCAAGAATAGATTTGACACATTGAACACTAATCACTGAAGACCAGATGAGTTGTAGGATGACATTAAGGACATCATACATGAAGAAAGCAAAAGGTCATTAAAAAGACAAGAAAGAAAGATCAAAATGGATGTCAGAAGAGACTCTGAAGCTTGCTCTTGAACATCCAGTAGCTAAAGCAAAAGGAAATGATGAAGTGAAAAAGCTGAACAGAAGATTTCAAAGGGCAGCTTGAGAAGATAAAGTATTATAATGACGTGTGCAAAGACCTGGAGTTAAAAAACCAAAAAGGAAGCACACACTTGGCATTCCTCAAGCAGAAAGAACTAAAGAAAAAATTCGAGCCTCAAGTTGCAATATTAAAGGATTCTAAGCGCAAAATTCTGAACGATGCAGGAAGCATCAAAAGAAAATGGAAGGAATACACAGTCAGTGTACCAAAAAAAAAAAACTGGTTGACATTCAACCATTTCAGGAGGCAGCATACGATCAAGAACTGATGGTACTGAAGGAAAACGTCCAACCTACACTGAAGGCATTGGTGAAAAAGAAGGCTCCATTAATTGTTAGAATACCAACTGAGATGCTTCAACAAACGAATATAATGCTGGAAGTGCCCACTCGTCTATGCAAAGCAATTTGGAAGACAGCTACCTGGCCAACTGACTGGAAGAAATCCATATTTGTGCCCATTACAAAAAAAGGTGATCCAACCGAATGTGGAAATTATCGAACAATATCACTCACATGCAAGTAAAACTTTTCTGAAGATAATTCAAAAATGGTAACAGCAATACATGGACAGGGAACTGCCAGAAATTTGAGCCAGATTCAGTAGAGGATGTAGAACTAGGGATATCATAACTGATGTCAGATGGATCATGGCTGAAAGCAGAGAATACCAGAAAGATGTTTATCTGTGTTTAACTGACTATGCAAAGACATTCGACTGTGTGGATGATAACAAATTATGGATAACATTGTAAAGAATGGGAACTCCAGAATACTTATTGTGTTCATGAGGAACCTGTACATAGACCAAGAGGCAGTCACTGGAACAGAACAAAGGGATACTGTGTGGTTTAAATCAGGAAAGGTGTGTATCAGGGTTGTATCCTTTCACCATACTTATTCAGTCTGTATTTAAACAATTCAAGAAACTGGACTATATGAAGAACAAGGCATCAGGATTGGAAGAAGACTCATTAATAACCTGTGACAGGCAAATGACATAAACTTGTTTGCTGAAAGTGAAGAGGACTTGAAGCACTTACTGATGAAGATCAAAGACCACAGCCTTCAGTGTGGATTATACCTCAACATAAAGACAACAAAAATCCTCACAACTGGACCAACAAACAGCATCATGATAAATGGAGAAAAGATTGAAGTTGTCAAGGATTTCATTTTACTTGGATGCACAATCAACACCCAGGGAAGCAGCAGTCAGGAAATCAAATGACGTACTGCACTGGGCAAATCTGCTACAACAAACCTCTTTAAAGTGTTAAAAAAAAAAAAAAAAAAAAGATGTCACTTTGAGAACTAAGGTGTGCCTGACCCAGGCCACTGTATTTTTAATCACCTCATATGCATGTGAAAGCTGGACAATGAATAAGGAAGACCAGAAAAGGACTGATGCCTTTGGATTATGGTGTTAGTGGAGAATACTGAATATACCATGGTGCGCTACTATTAATTTCTTTCATATGTGGCCTTTCTAGCCGTGGTCTTGTAACCCCCACCTAAGTGATTGGGCAGGACTGTGTGATAGGGTAATTGTGGCCTACCAAAGGGATTGATCTGTTTTGCTTTTAGAAGAGCGCCACTTCCAGAGCAGAGAGGAGGATCCTACCACCCCCAAGGAAGAACAGGCAGGAGTGGAGAACCCATCCTGTCAACCCCTGCACTGAGAAGATCCTGGAAGCAGGTGACCGAGAGAAACAGAGCAAGCTGTAACTCTGAAGACAGTGAGAAGTGGTGGCAGTAGAGACCCACCAGCAAGAGACTGTATGGTGGGCTTCCCAATCCACGGCGAGAGAAAGTTGAGGGCCTTTGGGACTGAGGGTCAGGGAGAGGCATGACTGCGAGTACAGCTGGGGAGAGGCTGTCCTCTGGAAGAACTGTATCCTGAGTGTTCTTGAGCCTGAATTGTAACTGTTACTTCCCTAATAAACCCCATAATTTTGAGTATAGTCTGTGAGCCTGTGTGGCCACTGCAATGAATTATGGAACCCAGTAGAGAGTGCTGTGGGAGAGAAGGTTGGTGTCAGACTTGGTAAAGATGGTGGAGAGAGGGGGCTTGTCTGGCCTCTGCCTCATAGGAGTCAGCCTTGAGCTGCTGATCTTGGTTCTCCTTCCTCCTTGTCAGGTTGGAGGAGGTCAGACACAGCCCCCAAGCCATTTTTCCACGTGGACCGCCAGAATAACAAACAAATCTCTCTTAGAAGAAGGTCAGCCAGAATGCTCCTTAGAAGCAAGGATGGCAAGACTTTGACTCATGTACTTTGGACATGTTATCAGGAGGGATTAGTCCATGCCGAAGGACATCATGCTCGGTAAAGTAGAGGGTAAGCAAAAAAGAGGAAGACCCTTAACGAGATGGAATGACACAGTGGTTGCAACAATGAGAACAAATACAGCAATAATTACGAGGATGGCGAAGGGCTGGGCAGTGTTTAGTTCTGTTGGTCGTAGGGTTGCTATGAGTCGGAACCGACTCGAATGTACCTAACAACAACAACAAAGAGACAAAGACTTTACTTTGAAATGAACATGTTTAGTTGCTTGAATTATTTTTAGAAAATGATTAGTACACTTTCCCAGTCCCTCACCTCCAAGTCACAATTTCCTACTGTGGCATTTTTAAAAATCCCTTCGTAAATATTTTTCATGGAAATATTTACCCAGCACATTTACTAAAGCCATAGGATTTAAAAGATAAAACAGATCTGGAGTTTACACAATGCAGATTCTCTTTGGAAATTCTTAATAAAAATCAGATGTGCGAAGAAGGGGCCAAGTTGTTCAGCACTGCCAAGATGTAGGCATTTCAGGTCAACTTGCAAAGCTTACTCTCAAAACAGAGAAGCCCAAGGCCACCATGCCTCACTCACTAACTCACATTCTGTTGTCCTTGTAACCACTTAGCCTTATTTCCAAGGTATTATCACTCAATTAGCATAATCTTCTGATAAGAAGTACTAATAGTCTAAATCAGAAGAAGACAGAACCCCATGTCAGTGGTCTTGAAATTAACTGACTGTGGACTTGACCTGCTATAGATGTGAGAAGCATGTGCATTTTTTTTTCCTACAAAAGGTAGCTTTTGAGAATAAAACTGACAAGGAATTTAAATTTCCTTTATAGGACTGACTCCAGAGGATTTACAAACTTGGAATCTTCGCAGCCTGTGGGTTGGAGTTGATTGCTTTATGACTAAGCTTTCTCCTTACATGAACATTGAAAAAGAACGCGTTTAGCCTGTGAAGCTGAAATTCCTTTCTAAGCCATGCTAAAGAGAATAAAACTAAAGTACAATGTGTAAAAAAGAGAATAAAAATGCAGCGTTAGGTAGATATATAAAGAGAAACTGGTCTCATATACATAATACACTCTCTAAAAACTGAGATAGTACCAATTAAACACGAAACAAGCTATTAAAATGCCACAACTTTGCTTTCACTAATAAAATATTACTATTAAATTTCACAGATGTTTATTATAATGCATTATAAACTAACATCATAGAAAAATTCAAAATTAGGAGTAACAGCATTTCAGGAAACCAAAAAGAAAAATGGTTCATATTTCTGGTGTTAGCCCAACTGAAAACATTTTCTAACAAATCATAAAAGCACAACTTATCACTTACTCAGCCTCAGATACAGCTGCCAACCTCAAAACAATCCATTAAAAATTCGTTTTAAAATGGCAGCAGCGTGTACTAGAAATACAAGATGCTCCATGTGGAAATTCCGAATAGCTTGCCAAAGTCCAGGTACTTGGTACTAAGCAAATTCTCAGGAACTACGTGATGGATTAATTTCTTTTGTACGTGGCCTTTCTAGCCATGGTCTTGTAACTCCCACCGAGGTGATTGTGTGATAGGGTAACTGTGGCCTACCAAGGGGATTGGGGGAAACCCTGGTGGTGCAGTGGTTAAGAGCTACAGCTGCTAACCAGAAGGTTGGCAGTTCAAATACACCAGGTACTCCTTGGAAACTCTATGAGGCAGTTCTACTCTGTCCTATAGGGTTGCTATGAGTCAGAATCGACTTGACAGCAACGGGTTTGGTTTTGTTTGAAGGGAATTGGTCAGTTTTGCCTTAAAAGAGAGCCAATTCCAGAGCACGGAGGAGAACCCACCACCACCAAAGGAGAGACCCTCAGAGGATGGCGCAGGGGGCTTCCCGGCTCACGAAGCGAGAAAGGTGAGTGCCTTTGGGCAGAGACTGAGGCCAGGACGAAGTCTACGCCTGACCCACTAACTTCGGACTTGCCAGCCTCCACAACCATTTCCTTTATATGGTTCGTGAGTTCTAAGAGACACTGCAGTGAATTAGAGAACCCAAAGACAGGAAGGAGAGTACTGAGGGGAGAGGGAGTAGCTGATGTTAGAGATGATGGAGTGGGACAGCTCTTGGAAAAGTCAGACGTTTGGGATATCTTTAACCTCCGCCTCATAGGAAGCAGCTCTGTGCTGATCTCATACAAGAAATTATTCGTCTGAACTACTTACATCTGTGGAAGAATGTTGGGCGTTCGAGTGGTGATTTTGCTACCTGGGCAATAATCTGTGTGAACTCTGACTAGCAGCTGCCCTCATATGACCGCTGACTAGAGGCCACAGTCACCTCACCAGAAGGCCCCATGCTCCAGCGAGAGCCCCTAGTTCATCTGCATCCCAGGGAATCTTCTGAATCATCTCTAGGGACAACAGGTAATAAAATACCCGAACAACAGGAGCCAGGAGATAAGCCGTCCCTTACCTTTCACTGTTCTTTTTGCCACTAGAAGAACTGCTGGTGGATCCCGTTCGATTTCGGTTTCCTTTGGAGTCCCCATAGCTCTCCCTTCGACCACCAGGAGAGACTCGTTCAGAAGAGCTGGTCCTTTTGATGGTACTAAAAATGGGATGTAAATGACAACGATACCCTTAAATATCATGATTTTACTTTATGGCCAAGCGTAACAACATACACATAAACCAAAAAACCCATTTCTATCGAGTCGATTCCAACTCATAGCAACCCTATAGGACAGAGCAGAACTGCCCCATAGGGTTTCCAAGGAGCAGCTGGTGGATTTCAACTGCCAACCTTTTTGGTTAGCAGCTGAGCTCTTAACCACTGCGCCATGAGGGCTCCAATATACACACAGAGCATCATATTTCCATGCAGGTATTTACAAGTTAGATTGCCTCTAAAATCCTAACTCCAGAGACAAAATGTTTTTCTCGATGTCACTTGGAATCCGTGCCTCTGCTCACGGCCACTGTGACTGTGGCAATTAGTGCAGCTCAAAGCCGTAGAGAAAACTGAACCGTAAGGACCCAACAATACCGTGTGAGAACACTCCAGGGCCTGAAGAGAAACCGTCCTGCCCTTGAGTAGGCCTCAGTCTAGAGCAGTGGTTCTCAGCCGGGGGCCATTCTGTCCGCCAGGGACATTTAGCAATGTCTAGAAACATTTTTGGTTGTCACACTGGGAGGCTGCTACTGGCATCTAGTGGGTTAGATTACGCTAGGTGCCCCTGAGTTGGCTCCGACTCCTAGGGCCCTTATGTATGACAGAACAAAACACTGCCTAGTCGTGTGCTGTCCTGACAACAGTAGGTATGTTTGAGCCCATTGTTGCAGCCACTGTGTCAATCCCCGTCTTGTTGAGGGTCTTTTCTTTTTCGCTCTCCCTGTACCTTACCAAGCATGGTGTCCTTCTCCAGGGAATGGGCAGAGGCCAGGGATGCTGCTGAACATCCTATAGTGCCCAGGACAGCCCCCACCACAAATAATTATCCAGCTCAAAGTGTTAACAGTGCTGAGACTGAAGAGCCCTAGACTGAAGGCACACGTGGGACAAAAAGAACGTCATACGTAACGACAGAACCATTCTACCCTACGGAAAATGCCTTCATTTGGCAGTGTGTCCACGTAAGGGCTTAACCTTCCTCTGAGTAACAGGAGAGCATGGAGTAGCTGGAAGCCTGGGGAGGGAGGTCTGGGGAAGACTTCCTGTGGATTGTGAGTTTCTGGAAAGAGCAAACAAATGGCTTGACGTGTAGTAATTACACAGCAGGGAAGGAAGAGCCTGCTCTAGGCAAAGGGAAACCCACAGGCATGAGAGTGAATCAGAGCCAGGGAAGAGGTAAAGGGTGATCCCACCCTTGTGGAGCATGGAGTCGCCATGTAGGTACCCCAGTGCACCGGTTTATCTGCAGCATCAGGTCATAAATGTCTTGGGATCCTATCTCATTTATCATCTTTATATACTTAGCAGAGCTTAGCATAGAAGCTTGATCAGTATTTATTAAATGAAATGAATGAATGAGAGAATGGAAGTATCATAGGACAGGACAAGAGATGCTTTAACTTAGAGGCAACTCTAAGGTGGATGGGTGGGTAGGTGTTCTTGGGCTGGGGCTCTGGGAAGAAGGATAGCTGGGGCAAGGCAGATATGGACACATGGAGTTGGGGTGTTGGTGAGACACATGGGGCTGGAGACAATGTAAGTCTGCCACTCACGAGACAGCTAAGGACAGGAATCGTCCACCTAGTGGTCACTGAAGGAACTGCCAAGTGAGGGAAGAGGTGAGGAAGGAGAGAAGCAGAGCCTGGGAAACACCCAGGTACAAAGACGCAGGTGAGGAAAAGGAACTGCCACCAGAAGCTGAGGTAGCAGAGACGCCAGGAGAGTGGGGTGAGGGATGAGGCTCGGCTGGTAGGAAGTGTCGGGGGGCTTCCAAGAGGGCCGAGACGCAGCCAGCTTTCATAAGGAGTGAAGAGAAGCTGAAGAACGAAGGCAGCAGGGCTCTGGCCACTGGGCTGAATGCCCACGTCCTCATCTGTAAGCCAGGACAACTGCCTCTCTCCTCAGGATAAGACAGAAGTCTCACCCGCAGGCACCTGTCCCTGCCGCTGCTCGCTACTCCTCCTCATCAGACACCGCACCCGCTGCCTCACCTCCTTTCCTTCCCGCTCCCTCAGGTCTGTCCTTCAGCCCAGCTGTCAGTCCTTCCTTCCCCTTTATAACTTCTAATCTCTGAGCATGCTTTCAAACACCGCAGGGTTGGTTGCCTTCTGAAAAATCACCTCACTCTGTGACTGCTTAGAGCCACAGGAGCAGTTTGAGGGGCAAATGAGACAGCCATGATAAAGACTCTTCACTTGAATGCACTTTCTGCAGAGTCCTTCTGGTGACTGAGGAAGCGGTGGGCTTACAGCAGAATCCTACAACTGGAATCTGCGTGGTGTGCTTTCAGGTCGAAACATGAATTTTTAGAATGCTCAATTTTGGGACAAGGAAATTATAGACCTTAAGAGAGTATTATGTTTCTGAAACTTGGGATTGAAGTCTAAAGACTATAGAAACCTTTGTGTTTAAAATGCAAGAGGAAAAACACCCAGCTATTTTAACTTACCCACTGCTGTCGAGTCGATTCTGACTCATAGTGACCCTATATGACAGAGTGAAGCTGTCTCATAGGGTTTTATGGAAGGAGGCCTGGTGGCACAGTGGTTCAGCACTCGACTGCTAACTGGAAAGTCGGTTGTTCAAATCCACCAACCGCTCCATGGGAGAAAGATGTGGCAGTCTGCTTCCATAAAGATTAAAGCCTTGGAAACCCTATGGGGCAGTTCTACCCTGCCCTATAAACCAAGCCAAATCCATTGCTGTCAAGTCGATTCTGACTCATAGCAACCCTACAGGACAGAGTAGAACTGTCCCACAGGATTTCCAAGGAGCTCTCGGTGGATTCGAACCACCAACCATTTGGGTAGCAACCATAGCTTTTAACCACTACGCCACGCAGGCTTTCACCCTGTCCTATAAAGTCCCTATAAGCCAGAATCGGCTTGACAGCAATGAGTAATCTTTAAGGAGGCAGACTGCCACATCCTTCTCCCGTGGAACAGCTGGTGGGTTCCAACCATCAACCTTTCGTTTAGCAGCCGAGCACTTAAACACTGTGCCACCAGGGCTCCTTTAATCTAACTTAGTGGGATTATTTTCCAAGCACCCAGGACGAGGTTCTTAAGCATGGTGTGCCCCAACCAGGTACAGGGACGGAAAAGCAGCAGCAGACACCAACCCAGAGCTCCTGGGCTCCCCCTGGAGTCCACGGCAAGTCCGCGGTAATCATAAGGCCTGTACACGATACCCTCAAAGAGCTGACAAACCGTGACTATTAATCAGTTAAGACAAACATTAACCTACTTGCTAATAACTAAGACTCAGCCTAGCAGACGACAGACTTAACAGGGGCTCTAACGACGCAGACACCAGCAGTGGCAACAACAGTGAACGCACAGCGAGAGCTTTGCGTTTCACACGCGCTATTTAACTGGAACCTCAAAGGCCCCTACGAAAGTCACATCATCCCCAGCTTGCAGGTGAGGAAACAAATTCAGGGCTAGAAAGTGACTGAGGTGAAGTTACGTAGCAAGTGGCTGGGCTGACTTCACCCCAGGTCCCCCCCACCCCACGTGCCACTTAAGTATGATCACCTGCAATTTCTGAAATACCGGAGCACACTAGTCTGGGGGACCTGTGGAACCTCTAAGAAGCCGGTTAACGTCACCCACGAATAGTGCCGCAGGAGTTCAGATTTCATAAACAGTAGGCAGTGGATAAGACCTTTAAGCTACGGTGTTAGAAGGGAAGTAGAACTACTGAAGGAGCAGCTACGGTTACAACACAAATCTAAGCACCCTCCCCTTGGTGTTGATCTACTCAGTTTGCATGCATTGAGAAGGCTCACAGACCTGTTTAATCTGTACGGAAGAGGCACAGAAACAAAGCCGAAAAAAACGTGAGTGCAATGATAAAAGCGTGGGAAAACATTCTGAGAAGCTTCAGTTGATGACAGAACGCACAGCGCACATCACAATGGCAACACATTTTTGTTTGCATGTGTAGACCCGGGTATACTCCACCACCGCTCTTCAGGATCTCTGTCATTCACACGTTTGCACTAAATGTTAAACTTTTTTTTTTTTTTTTAATCTACTATTCTGTTGTATACTTAGAAAAAAAGCAAGACGTTTCCTTATGAGAGCCAAGAGCTCTTACGAATTAAAGAGGATTTGACAGGACTCAAAGTGAGGGACAGAAAATACAACTGGAAGACCAGACATTCGTGTAAGAATGGCAGTGTCAACAGCAATGCGGTCCACTCACGGTGGGAGGCCTACTGACATACACGGGGAAATATCAAAGGCATCCCGCGCCTGCAGGACAGCACATGAAAAGTAACGCTCTGTGTTTTGAAAGTGGTAGACATACTGGCTGGTGAGAGACTGCAGGATAATGCAGTCTATGTTTTAGTCCGTAAGGCAAGTAAAATATTTTTGGTGCAATGATAAATGCATAGATACCGTCGTTATTTTCTTTCCCCTCCTGCTCCTACCCTCGCTCCCCAACCACAAACCTTCCTGAAAAGATAATGATTTTTACACGACCTTCCATACTGCATTTAATGTTTCCGGCCTATCTGAATGGAATGCTGCTGCGGCTGTTGGCCGGCATGCGGTGGATTCCGACTGACTCATGGCCATCTCAGACTTCATAACATTTTTGGCAAAAGGTGACCAGGAGGGCAGCCATCTTTCTTCTTACAGACAGACAGTAACTCTGAGCCTAAGGAGCTGCAATGATGCTTTTCTTTCATCATGTAATTTGGAATTAAGAATTGGTTTTCCAAAAGTTTGCTAAAAGACCCCAAACTTTTATAGTCAAACAAACAGAAATCCGGCAGATAGCCCTTAGGCAGGACCAGTTATTTTCTGGTGATTTTATTGATAATAACAGCAGTGGTGACTGACCCTACATTAAAACAATTATTCACTCAACAAACACTTATTAGGCATCAATCATATTTGGGTGCGAGGCTGGGCAGTGGAGAGTCAACGACGGGAGAATTGGCTCCTCCTGGCTCCTCCTGGAAATTATGAGAGAATTCTGACAGACTGAGATCACTTACTTAATAATTTTTAATTACTTAATATGTAATAATACTAATGATTAATAATTACTTAATAATTAAATCTTTTACCATCTAAAAAACATAATTGTGGCCAAATCCAAGTCATTTCCTAGAAGGCTGGTGGCGTAAGAAAATCGGACAGAACCCAAGCACAGAGGGCGGAACTCTAGTGCTTCTGATAAGGGACAGGTACCCACTGGTTTTCCTCTGTCTGGCAGTACAATACTTCAATCTCTATTTTGCTACTGAGAACAGACTCGAAACATGAATTTAACACCTCTGTTTCAATGGATCTAAACACGAGAAATACGTTAACAATAATTTTTAAAAATAGTCAAATCAGATTTTGGTTTTCTGGTCCTTAAATTGTGTCTGTATTTGGCACTAACTTCAGTGCAATTACAAATGCTGTATTTTTAACAAGTGGAATGATTTTTCCAAAGCACTATGGGCCATCTGTTTGGAAGCAGCAGATACGTACCATTCTATCTTACACTTGGTACGAGTGTTTGTTACATAATGCTCTTTTTATACCAGCCTTGTTCTTTGATCTCTATTCTCACAGCGCTGCCCTGTTGTGATGTTCTACCCATGAGCTGGGAGAATGAGTGCCTGTTTTTCTCCTGAGCCAGTGGAAATGCTGTGCTATTGTAGCTTCAGCATCCCCACGGAGCAAGGTATGACCTACAATGTCTTCACTGGATTTTCTGCTTCTTTTCCTCTTACTAATGGAAACAAAGCTTTTCCCAAGGATTCCAAATCAAGCCCCCAATCGAAGTCTTAATTGGCAACACAAAGCACAAGCACTGGTTGTTGGACAATTTCCAAATGGGACTTCTTCCTTAAGCACCAGGCTGAGAAACACTGAAGAAAAGAAAACAAACACCTATCCAGCCAGCCACACATGCTCCAACTGGGCTAGTGGTGAACTCTGACACAGAAAAATTCTACATGATTATAAACATACCTGAAATGGTTTGAGGGCTATTTTAATCCTGATATTCCAAATGCCCTGCTTGCTTTTTTTTGCTTTCAAATTCTCTCCTAGAGAGAGATTTGCAAAAAACTGTATTACAGGGTAACAATTTGATGCTACTGTTCATGTTTCCAACTTTCAAATGGATGGGAATTCATATCCATGGAAGCCCAGCCACAGTAAATAAAATAAATGAATCACTACACCTTTATATTGAAAAGGAGGAGTCTTGAACACTCAGACTAGAAAACCATGTATTTCTCGTTGGCAGCTCTATGCTAACAATAGCTTATCAGATCAACCAAATTTATTATTTTATAAATTAAAAAGAAACATCTACAGAGCCCTTAGCATATTTCTGGAAGGAAGCTTACCATCTCAATGCTAATACAAACATACGTGTGTATATATTTATATATGAATCATATGATGGCTACTAACAATATGGAGCGCTGGTGGCGCAGTGGTTAAGAGCTCAGCAGCTAACCAAAAGCTCAGCAGCTCAAATCCACCAGTTGCTCCTTGGAAACCCTATGGGGCAGTTCTACTCTGTCCTATAGGGTTACTCTGAGTCAGAATCGACTCGACGGCAGTGGGTTTACTAACAATATTATTCATTCCTTCCCTTCCCTTCCTTTCTCTACATCTCTTTGTTCCTTTTGATAGTGTTGCTGAGAGTAATCGCCACCCATGAGCCCTCTCCAACATGGTGGAACACAGTGGCGGGAGCACAGATCAGGGCCTGGTTCTTGACCTGGAGTCCAGCCCAGGAGCCCCTGAGTAATGGGCGGCACTGTCTCTCAGACTTGCACTCAGCCAGGAATCTCTGCTCAGAGTCCCCTGACTCTGACTGCTGCCCCTGTCATCACTCACCGTGGCCTCTGAGAGCACCACCGCTGCCAACAAGTGTGCGGACAGGATGGGAAATGAATGAGTGATGACTTCCAAGTGGTAATTACGTCAAGTGTTTTTTGTGAGTAGATACCAGGGCCGTCCTGGAAATCTTGACGGGGAGCAGCCTAGCAGAGTGAAAAGAGTAGGCTCTGGAGCCAAATGACCTGGTGAGCCCATGTTCCCCAGTCTCTAGCGTGGGACCCTTGGGCAAGTTACTTTACTTCCCTGAGCCTCAGGCGAAATAACTCTACCTTGTTAAGACCGTTTAAAGGACTAGAGATAATGGTGCAAGAAACACCTGGCACTCAGGCTTTCATTATCACCCACCATCTCTGATTTAAAGAGAGGGTGAAATACCCACTAACGCCCCCTCGTCTTCCTCACATTCTGGAGGAAAGTACCATTGACATTCTACTGCTCAGTCTCACTCCAGCAGTTGGTGTCAGAAATCTCATCCCCAGCCTTACCCTACCGTGAATAAATGTTTCAAATATGAGAACTCAAAATACAATTTGCCAAGAATTCTAACAATCATGACAATAAATCCCATGAGTTCTGAGAAAACCATGAATAGTCTACTTGCTGAAGGGCATTATTGCACTACAGCAAAGTTACTTGGGACCAAACAGAGGCGTGGCTACAAAATCAAAAAGCAAGAATGCTTGACATTAGCTCTTAGGAAAAAGCAAATGAATCGAAAGCTAGAAATTACACCTACATTTGTATTTTTACTTCCATTTTTTTTTTTTGCTCTGAAAAAAAGTTCTTTTCTTTTATTCAAATTCCAAATATTAAAGAGGTATGAATTATGAAGTTCTATTTTCTTTAAAAATAAAGGAAAGGAATCGCATTCTTCATTAACTACCTGCTACTTGAAAAAGTCACTGTTATCAACCTTATAACACCTAGACAAATAAAAAGATTGTCTGTATCTACTGCTGCCAATTAGAATTCAGGAGGGCATCTGGTGTTGATTATAAGTAAAAATAATTCAAACAAGTATTCAACAGATATGAAAAGGAGGCCAAGAATTTCATTGTAAAGTTCTAAAGAGCCATGTAAAACCAATTCTCTTAAACACAAAATGGAAGTACATGAAACTCTATCTGATGAAACACAAGGAAAATGTGTCTAGTGAAGGACATGCTGTTGTGCACAGACACTCAAAAGTGGCCTCAGGAGATCTTCACAACAAGTCACAGCCCAGCACCGAGTCGAGCACCAACCCCTGCCAGCCTGCTGGGTGTCTTCAGTGTGCCCGGTGTACCCCCACGTCCCATGTCCCCATTGCACATGAGGCTGTTAGCAGCTCAATCTACTTGACAGGTTCGCTGCATTCTTACAACACGCCAGCGAGGTCGAGTTGCGGGAGAATTTCTTTAAGGCTTTCTAATCAAGAGAACCACCAAGGTACTTGATTTTCCAGAGTCTAAACACTTAGAAAAGTGGCCTGGCAAATAAGATGTAAAATCTTAATACGACAGCTATCAAAGGGTAGAAGAGTTAAGAGCAAACTGTGATCTGTCTGATAGACAACATCAGTATCTAGAATTCCACCATTAGGTGAAATTTAAAGGTATAAACGTATGCATATTTTATAGATAAAAACTGAACTTTGCTATATTTCAAGTATGGACTTGGGAACAGAAACTTCATCTTTGTTTTTTTGAAAGAGAACAGTAAGTAAAAAATACAAAATGGCACACTGTGGTTTTAGCCAATGATATTTCAAAGACAATATGATTAAATCTGGAAAAAAAAAAGCAGAATAATAAATTCATATAGTTTCTGTCATGGCAACATACCAGATCTTGTACTTTTACGAGCTTTAACTCAGACCAGTAATTGTAAAGTGTTCTACATAAAAAAAAAAATACTCATTTTAAAATCTGAGATGGAACTGCTTTTAGAACTGAAGACACGCCTTGCCTACCTTTTGGCTGCGGGCACAGCGGTCTCCTTCCTGGCTCCCGAGGGGGATGGCAGAGAGCCACCTGGTTTCTTTGGTAACACGGTGCCATTGTTGACAGTGGTTCTTAAAGGCAGGGTCTGCACCAGCGGTCTTGCTGTAAGACAAGCAGAAAAGGAAATCAGAGCTTTCCCTGGTAGAGGTAACTCCTGATGAAACTTAAGATGTGTAGAAAGGGCAAGCATCAATTCAAAAATGCCAGCAGGAGTGACAGAGCTGCAAAGCAATTCAAAGGAGAAAGGACCGAATTTTCAACAAATGGTGCTGGAATAAGGAACCTAGACACAGACCTCACACTTTACACAAAAATTAACTCTAAATGAACCATAGACCTAAATGTAAAACTTCTAGAAGAAAACATGGGAGAAAAATCTCTCTGACCTTGGTTTGGGTGATGAGTTTTTAGAAACAAAACCAAAAACACCATCCACAAAAGAAAAAATTATTAAGTTGGACTTTATTTAAAATTAAAACACCTTTGCTCTTTGAAAGACACCGATACAAGAATGCAAAGACAAGCCACAGACTGGGAGAAAATATGTGCAAACCACATATTGATGAAGGACTTATATACAAAATACACAAAGAACTCTGAAATTTCAACAGTAAAAAACAAACAACCCAATTTAAAAAATGGGCAAAAAATCTGAACAGACCCCTCACCAAATAAGATATACATGCGGCAAATAAGCAGATGAAAAGATGCTCAACGTCATTTGTCATCAGGGGAACGCAAATTAAAACAATAATTAGATACCACTACACACCTATTAGAATGGCTGACAAGTTACCAACTGCTGGCCAGAATGTCCTTTCAGAACACTACTGCTTCTAACAAGTGTGCAGACAAGATGGGACCTCTGAATGGGACTTTATTTCAAAGTAGGGACTTTGTAGATGTAATTAGTTAAAAGTTGAGATTACACTGGATTAGGGTGGGTCCTAGGTCCAATGACTAATATCCTCATAACTCGTACCCCGTTGCCGTCGAGTCAATTCCGACTCACAGCGACCCTATAGGACATATGAAGACGCCCGAGAGGAGGATGCCGTATGAAGATGGAGGTAAAGACTGGAGTGATGAGGCTACAAGCCAAGGAACGCCAAGGGCTGCCAGCAACTCCCAGAAAGAAAGGCACAGGACAGATTCTCCCTTAGGGCCTTCAGAGAACACAGCTCTGCCAACACTTTGATTTCAGACTTCTAGCCTCCACAACAGGGAGAGGATAAATTTCTGTTGTTTGAGGTCAACCAGTTCGTGGCACTTTGTGCCGGCAGCCCCAGGAAACCAGCACAGATGCTGATATTAAACTGTCTCCTGTCTGTCCTTTCTACCCCAGTTCTGTCTCTTCCAGTCTCTCCTCACAGCATACCCCCCAGCACCTGCCTCCCAGCGCATTCTGTAGGCTCTGTCCAGGCTAATCTCCTTAAAAACTCTTGTCTTAACATTCCTTGTTAGAAATTTTCAATGCTTCCTTATAGCCTGCTGCGTCATCAAGGGTTACCAGCACCAACGTAAAATTTTAAAAGCAGCTATTGAGTGCTTGTTGGTAAGCAGAGTGTTAAACTGAAAAACATTCTCTCGTGTAATTGGGACATCATCAAGTCTTGTCCAATTCTCATTTTACAACAAGGCCTGGAGAAGGGAAGGGCGAGAGGATACTGACCCCACGTTCTAGGCTAGGGCTCCTCCACTCCACTTGGCCTGAGTAAATTTATTCTCTTATAATGATCGGTGACCTAGGCTCATCCTATCTATCCTATTTCATTTCTCACACTACGCATCCAGACTCACCAACAAACTAGCAAAACAAAACAACAAACAAAAAATCCCCACCTCATCCCTAGCTCCTTAGCTTTGTTTCTGTGGGGGCACTCTCAAATTTGAGCGTGCATCGGAGTCACCTGGAGGGCTAGTTAAAATGCAGATTTCTAGGTCCCACCCCAGAGTTTCCAATTCAGTAGGACTGGGGTGGGGCATGAGAATCTGCCTTACTAGCAAGTTCTCCAGCAATGACAATGCTGCTGGTCCAGGAGCACTCGGCGAACCACTGGTTCATGCCGCGGTCCAGCTATGCGCCTCACTCCTCATTCCTCCAGCCCTCACTGATGGCCCTTCTCTCTGGACCCCAGGTTTGTGCCTGCGTGCTGCACACGGCAAGTCTGCCCCTCACAGCTCACACCGACCATTAAATCCTGCTTGTTCCTGTGCACGCGTTCTGTCTTCCCAATGAGCGTGTGGCAGACAGCTGTGCCTTGGGGGGCATGGGGGAGAGGGGTGCACGCTGTTGCGTCCAGGCAGTGTTGAGTGGAGTGGATTCCCCTTGCAGCTCCAGAGACTGTCCACCCCTGAGAGGAGGTGAAGGAGGAGCAGTTCCTAGAACCCAGGGCAGAGACGATGCCCTGAGAACAGCAGCCACACTCGGTAGAGGACACCACCTCGTGACCCTCTGACATCACCCTCTTCCCTCCTCCCACCCCTGCTGGGGTTCCCCTTGCTCCCGCTACCAGCGAGCCCCTTGGTGCGGTCCATACAGGTCAGCTCCAGGGCTGGAAGCTGGCTGGAGGTGGGTAAAGAAAGGGTGTGAAGGGCAACCAGAACATCCCTGGCCCCCAGCTATTCGCAGGTACCTGGTCAGGTGCCCCCCTCCTACATGCACACGCCCATCTAACAGGCCAGGCGGCTGCCTCCAGGCGCCTGCCGCCTCCAGGCTCCCACTACCCCTCCGGGCGCCCACTATCCCTCCGGGCGCCCACTACACCTTCGGGCGCCCACGGTGCCTTGCCTTTACCACTTCGCCACCTGGAGAGCAGCCAGCTGCAACTGTCGGAGGCTGTGCTGTCCACCCCACTGCCTGAGACTGCAGGCTCCTTGAAGGAAGCACTGCTACAGTGCCTACACGCAGACAAGCCAGGTGCCAGCAACGCGACCCTGGCCCACGGCCACCTCTTGTGTGACACAGTTGAATCGTGCTCCATAGGGTTTTCAATGGCTGATTTTTCAGAAGCAGATTGCCAGGCCTTTCTTCTGAGGTGCCCTGGGTAGACTCGAACCTTCAACCTTTCACTTAGCAGCCAAACATGTTAACTGTTTACACTCCACACACAGAAGGTACTCAATACGTATCTGTTGACCAAAACCACACAAAATTTTAGGAACAAGAATGCTGCTTCCACGAGAAGGCGTTACGTTGCCATTTCCGAGTCGCTAATAAGTTTTTTAAATTTTCTCGACTCTTAATTTAAAAATTCAGTTTCATAATAATCTAGTATCGTCCTTCTCCCAAAAGGGGAAAAAGGACTTTAAACGTCGGTGAAAAGAAAATCATGTGCATGCAACAGGCCTCCCTGGAGTGCATAACAAGATTTTATATATTAAACTCTGATAGGAATAGGGTAGCACTGGGAGCGGACAGA